TGATGATGCTGCTGCCCTTCACACCAAACTCTGTGTCCACTTGAGCCATTGTGCTGTCCTGTAGTTTGTCTATCATCCACTGTAGCCAATAAAAAAGGAGGTTTTCACTTAAAATGGGAAACCAAGTGGTTTCTCCTTTAACAATCTTAAATATATTAAAATACAAACACTTAATGTTTTTTTGTCTTATAATCAAACTGATAAAATAGCCATACCAAAAAAAAAGGGCTCCGACAAGCAGCACTCACATGCTGTCTCACCCCTCCTTCACAGAGGCTAGTGAGAAGGGCTCGATCAGGTTGAGCGGTTAGCAGTGGTGCAGCACGTCTTCAGATGACCACTTTAGAAGAATGCAGATTCAAGCCTTAACACTTCGCTTATATGTATCTCTATGGTGGGAGGGGTCAGCGACTCAGGTTTTTTATTATCTCTCCCCTCCCATTTTGACCACAGCCTGCAGACCTTAGTCCTATTCCCTCTCAGGCCTCCTTCCAGCAACGTCCCTTGTAGGATGTTGGAAAAGGAGAGCAGCTACTTAATAGGCCCTGTTGCCAAAAACTACAGATTTATAGTTTGTTGCCAAAGAATATAACAGAGATTACCATTACATTTTTAAAGATAAACAACTCTCCATGCCATCTGTGGCCTGAAAGATATTTGTCACAAAATATCTAATATAAATTTGTTAACGTTGAAAAATAATGCATTTTATCAATATGTTGGAATGGATGGAATTTTAAATCGGTAGCATAGATTGTAAGTAATGGACAATGAGCTGGAGTCGATTGTATTTTCCTCTGGAATTAGATGATTTTGCTGTTTGCACTTTTCCTATGGACTTTCCATGACCATTTTAAACATGATTTGCTTTCTGTTATTTACAGCCAAGCCGTTAATTATAACCATACAGGGAAAAAAGCTCTGGGATATCACGATGAAAGCTGTGGGTTTCAAGATCCAAACACTGAACAGATACAAACAGCACGATTTATTATGCGCCATAAAAATATATATACAACGTTATTGTTGGCGTAATAGCCCTTTAAACACAGGTCACTGAGATAATGTAGCTGTTAGGTTTGTGGCTGCATCAAAATAGTTTTAAGTGGGATTCAGAACTGAGGACCCTGGCTGTAAATCTACTTATGTGGGTGCTTGTGCAACAAAAGGAAGAACTTAAAAAAGCATCAGCTTTGGTTTTAGTGATATTCAGCCAAGTCAAGTATTGCAGAGGTTTCTATTTTTGGAACAATGTGTAATGACAGACATCCAAACAATGGCGGTTCCTAATGTCACATTGTTGGCACATATCTGACAGAGCCAATAGTGGCTAAAAAATGCTTCAAGACTGACAAGCTAGTTTCATATTGTAGATGTATTGTGCACCTAGCTTCCCAGCTTTAAAGGAGTATTATGAAATTTTAGTTCAGCCTTGTTCTTAAGGCGAAACTGACAATTAAACTGGACACACTGAGCATTAGCAATTTACTTTATTCATTTCAGATATAGCTTATTTTTCCATCATATAATGCCAACACACTGATACAAAATACCCTTTTAGACAAATGCCTTAACATTCAAGGCCCACTGAGTTTTGAACTGTTGCCATGACACAGACATGGAAACACATCCCTTGGCCATTATAACATCAATTCCTGAATACAGAAGCTTAAAGAGTGTGCAGTGACATCCATGTAGCTTTGAAAACGTTACCTTGTAAACAAACATATTTTTGAGAATGCCTCATGAGTGAAAAAAATTAAAATACTGCACTTGTTTTCTTTGAATTGGTGAGACTTGGGTTTGGCACGGGGTAGCTGCAGTGCTTGTACAGTAAAAGTGAACCCTGAATACATGAAGTTTGTGAAGTGTTCACGGTCCACAGCAAAGTCTCTTCTTCGTCCTTTAGACTGTGATTGATGCTCCTGGGTGAAAGGCTTCCACCGTCACAAATATGCCAGCCTTTTTCCCTCCTTTGATCAGCACTCTTGGTTTAATGTGTTCATATGCTTGGAGTACAGTAGATAGTGAAATACATTAAACTTCATTACGTTTATTGTCATACCCGAAATATGAAATAATAATAAAAAAATATTCTGTAACTGCTTTATGTGGCAAAGGTTAAATATATTCTTACATATAACATTTTGAACCATAAGTCATCAAGTGACTTGATAACATTCACAAGCATTTCATATAGTTCTATTAGTTTAAACTGACATTTAAGGGATGCAGCTAATTCCTCGACATCATACATGTACATGCTCAACAGTGGATGTAAAACAAGCACAAAACTCAGAATTAAACAATTATGTACAAAATCTGATCAAGTATAGAATATTTTGTGGAACAGAAATGTAATAATTTTTGCACTGATCCCAACAGTCCACAAGCTTGAATTCTACCTGCAGCGAATGATACATCTTTGAAATCATATTCTCAGCCCTGCACCAACAATAATTCAAATATAGACCATGTTAAAGTTTCCATTAAATATCATTATTAAATATGGAATCTTACAAAAGGATTTAGTGCAGGTATGCTGATACTCACTGTTAAATGTCATCGGTGAAAAAGTGTTTGCTGGCCTTGAGTCACAGTATTAGGACATGCTGTTCATGCTGGGGAAACTAAGCCAAGCAGCTTTCCCCTGAGCTTGGCGCTGACACAGAATCGGAGGGGCTTCAGTGTGAGCCCGTAGGAGCAGTCAAGAGTGAGGGGCTCAGAGGGGTCGCTTTCGTAGCTGCACTGGTGCAGCAGCACTGCTGTGAATAAAAACACCTCTACCTTGGCGATCTGGTTGCCAATGCAGCGTCTTTTACCTGTTGAAAAAATCATTACACTGTTGATTGTGTCTTTATCAAGGGCGCCGTTTTCATCAAGGAACCGTGTGGGGTCAAAAATGTGGGGATCCTTCCACTTCAGAGGGTCATGGTTGACAGACCACTGATTGATGAAGACCACCGTGTCCTTGGGGATGTTGAGACCCTCGATGGTGACGTCTGAGGTTGTGGAGTGTGGGATGGTGACGGGGACGAAGCTGGTAAAGCGCATAGTCTCGTAGATGAAGGCGTCCACATATGCCAGGTTGCTTCTGTCCTCAATTGATGGCAATCTGTCTGGGCCCACCACTTTGTCTATGAGCTGCTGCATTTTGACTTGTATGTCTGGGTATTTGACAAGGAGCAGGACGATCCACTGCATGACAGTTGATATTGTGTCTTGACCTGCTCCGATTAGATCTGTCACTGTTGCTTCGACAAAGTCTTTGGTCAGCCCGCTGTCTCTTCCATGCTCGATCACATTGATGATGGCGTCACTCATGTCCCGGGTCACATCAGGGCTAAAGGACTCTCGGTGCTGTGCCACTTTATCTTTCACAAAGGCAAAAAACTCCTCATTGAGGTTTTTAAAGTTTTCATAGACACTGCGGACTGGGTTGGGGAAGGATTGAAGCCAGGGCATGACATCTACCAGACTACCTGCCCCTACTGTCTCTCCAAACTTGTTCAGTCTTTTTAACAAGTTCCTGAACTCCAGGTCATCATGCCCGTATCGCTTACCGAAGCAGAGAGCACACATGATATTAGCAGCAGCTACTGTAAATTCATGCGCAGGGTCAAAATAGCGTCCATCAGTGCTGTGCCGCAAAAATACCTGCACCAGTTCCATGGCCTCAGCTGTAATGTGTTGCTCAAAGGCTTTTTTGGTCTGACTGTTTGCAGAGGAAAAGGCTCTGAGGCTTGACTGGGCAATTTTCCTGTGTGCTTTCCACTGTTTGCCGTAATTAGTAAATGTCAAACTCCTGCCTCCAGAGATCATCTGGAAAGAGACAAAGTTTGGTCTGCCTGCAAACTCTGTGCTG